CACAGCTGGAACCCATGTGGTTCGTAGTGAAATGAATTTGAACTCTAAGAATTGTCTCTAAAACTAACCTACAGATTATGACTGACTCGAAAAATTTTAAGACAGCCCATTTCACTAGACCTAAAAGGTTTTAATACAGATCTTTCATATATGAGACTGACACAGAACGAAAGCTTGACACAATTTGTTTTCATAAATCCACATTTTGTTAGTTTGTTTTCAATGCCGTGAGCAATTGCCTTTGAATGAAATGATAGTCATGACATCATTGTTTTGCACAGTAATATAAATGGTGTCAAGATGTTAATTTTGAATCTTCCAGCTGCTGAGGAAGAAGGTTGGGTCACTGTAAAAGTGCGTGGAAAAAGTGACAAGACTGGCAAATCGAGTGATCTTGGGGAGACAAAATTGTACTATGTTGATGAACGCAAAAAGGCTCTCAAGCAAATAGTCCAAGATGAAGAGCAGTATCGCTCCTTTTTCGAAGCATGGAATGCTGCTTGTAAAGGGCACCTCACTGATGGCAGCGAAAAAGAGACGAAATCCTCTGGTTCAGGTAAGCACAAGAGTCCCCTTAACATCTTTTATCGGTCTCAAGTAAACGTTGAATTTGTTGTTAAAAAAAAAAAACGTAGAAGACTTACGTAGAGGACTATTGGAATACATATAGTGTGTGTGGGTGTCTTTGCGAGATGCATGTGACTGTAAATAGGTTTCCTTTAAAAGACACCTCTTACTGACCGATTTCGAGGTCCGTATAGTAAGTTAGGGACCGAGATTTTTCCGCTCAGATTTACTTTGGATGGCCCGCGCGCTTCGTGTGCTTGGGTCACAAATCTGGGCGGAAAACACAAGTTTCCGTAACTTACAGCACGGACCGAGAAAACAAGGTTTTTAAGATATTTATTCTAGGTCTAAATACAAGGGGGAGATTTAAATTCAAAAAAACTTCTAAATTTGGTAGGCCGCACATAGAAAAATTTTCGCTACAACAACCATCCCTTACAACAACACACAAGCCCTAATTTGGATAGAATCCTCATTTGTCATGAGATTAGGGGTAAATTGTCCAACGAATTGTACGGATACCGTTTTACCATCATATTACGTCAAAGGTTTTTCATCAAAATTCCTTTCACAGGGAGCATGAATTCAGGGAATCCTTTACATTCACTTCAAGGCTTACTGTTGTTGGTGTATGCAGCAGCAGAAACTGATGCTCGGCAGTTCATTGAGTTAGTCCTCAATTCGTCGGCTGGCAAAGTGGTCTTCAACGCCTATAGGTGTACCTCTCCATTACCAGAGGATGTTGCGAG